TCACTCCAGACCCAGACCCCAGACCCAGACCCCAGACCCCGCCCCGGGACTCCTCACTCCAGACCCAGACCCCAGACCCCGCCCCGGGACTCACTCTAGACCCAGACCCCAGACCCAGACCCCGCCCCGGGACTCCCCCACCCCCTCTGCCCCCCCCGGACCCAGACCCCGCCCCGGAACTCACTCCAGACCCAGAACCCAGACCCCGCCCCGGGACTCACTCACTCCAGACCCAGACCCCAGACCCCGCCCCGGGACTCACTCTAGACCCAGACCCCAGACCCCGCCCCGGGACTCACTCCAGACCCAGACCCCAGACCCAGACCCCGCCCCGGGACTCACTCCAGACCCAGACCCCAGACCCAGACCCCGCCCCGGGACTCCCCCACCCCCTCTGCCCCCCCCGGACCCAGACCCCGCCCCGGAACTCACTCCAGACCCAGAACCCAGACCCCGCCCCGGGACTCACTCACTCCAGACCCAGACCCCAGACCCCGCCCCGGGACTCCCCCACCCCCTCTGCCCACCCCGGACCCAGACCCAGACCCCAGACCCCGCCCCGGGACTCCGGGACCCAGACCCCGCCCCGGGACTCCCCCACACCCTCTGCCCGCCCCGGACCCAGACCCCGCCCCGGGACTCCCGGACCCCTCGGCGCCCGCCCCGGACCCAGACCCCGCCCCGGGACTCCCCCACCCCCTCTGCCCGCCGCGAGACGTCTCCCTAGAGCACCCCCCGCCTGCCCAGGCCTGGGCCCTGGCCCTCTCCTGCAGGCCCCCCAAACCCGCTGTGCCTGGCGTCGTCCCCGGGGAGCTCAGCCTCAAAGCCGGGCCCCGCTGTCTCCCCCGCCCCGCAACCTCTGCGTGCCGGTTCCCTTTGCTTTGGTGCCTGTGTTGAGTCCAAACCGCTTTCCAGACCCCGAATGCTCCTACCTCTGTCAGCCGCCGTTCTAAACCCATCTGGAAAAGGAATCTGGTTTTCTGAGGGTGCTGCGGCCTCTGTGCAGAGGTCGGAGACCTGTCCCTTGTCCCTGACCCCGTGTTTGAAGGTCTGACATGGGGGAATTGACCGCTTGATGTAAACACAGAGCAAGGCCGCGGACGAGCTGCCCCTGTCGGCAGGCCGAGCACCCGCCTTCTAGAGGTGATCTCTTTGCCCCTCGGTTCCCTGCCTGGCGAGGCCAGCGCTCAGAAACTCCACTCTGGCTTCTGAGGAGTTAAAAGTCCGAGTTCGGAGCGTTTAATTCTGTTCTAGGATGTCGCCATCACCTGGAAATCGCTGATTTGTGAAGCAGGTGGAAGCCCTGCCCGTAGGGAGCACCACTTAGCTTCATTGATTCACCGTCAGATACTGAGGGGGCCCAGAGCCTCGCCCTTGGTCGGAAGCAGGTTCGGGGCGCGCTGGTTCCCGTCCCTGCTTTGCCTCTGTGACCTTGGCCTGTCGCCTGCCCGGGTTTGGATTTTCCATCAGAGGAGTGAATTGCGCTAGGCGGTCTCTAAGCTCAGACATTTTCCCATTCTGGGAGTTAGGTGATGCCGTCGGACTTGTGAATAGGACGTATCTTAGGAAACGACTTTAAATTCCTTTCAGTTAATTCGGCTTCACATGTTCTTGACTTTATATGAAAATAAAAGAGTTTTTCAGCATTTTGGCTTTTTCTGAAACCACGGTGAGTTATGCCCGAGTGTGGTTTAGAGCATGTTTATAAAAAACAGTCGTATCATTGCCCCTTACTGTGGTTTCTGTTGCGTTGGCTTTCGTGCTGTCGAGAGGCAGTTACGTGTTGATTGGAATGCCCCGGCTTCACCAAACTGAGTCAAAGCTCTCAACTAAGGGGATGCAAGAGTTCATGGATTCTGGAGCTCACGGTGACAGTAGGCATCTTACTAGGAAGGAAACTGGCCCCGAGAAGTGGAGGAGCTGAACCAAGGTCACCCACCCCAGAAGTGCCCAGCCGGGATGCAGGCCTGGTGATGCCTTCCATGTTGGGCAGCTGCGGGTGCTGGAGGACTCCTCCCCAGAAGCCTGGAGCGCCAGGGCTCCCCTGGCTCAGCTGTGGAGCTGTGGCTCCTCCTCGTGCTGGGCACCACCCTCCACTTCTCTCCCACTCTCGGTGGCCTGACCTAGATTTCCAGTGGGTTTCTTTTCTTTTACCTTGGGCCTATGTGGTCATTGAAGGAACTGAAAGGAGGAAATCAAGATGTAAACGTTAAGGGTAGGAATTGTAACCTTGCCGCTTAAAAATGAGCTCTGCATGGGTAGATGCTGCCCAGCTCTGTGCCGTTCACATGCAAGCTGCAGTGAGTGCCTCTGCCCTCCCCCAGGGCTTGCACTGGACGGAACCGGTGGGTGTGCGTGTGGTTTGCTAAGCTATCGACTTTAGGCTGAGACCCCACCATTGCCTCAGGTCTTTAGAGAAGCTGCACAGAGAGCTTTGGGAGCCGAGCCTCGAAGCCCACCAGTGCTTGGCCAGCATGGAGGCTGTGATTAAACATGAACAGTGCGCCCTTGGAAAGACCTCAGGGCTTCACAGCTAAGGAAAAGGCTCAGTGCTGTCAACGTTTGGCGTGCTTACTCCCCTTCTGAGTCAAGCAGATGCTCACTTCCAGCTTTGTGGAGAGACCATTGTGCCCTGTGTGTCGGCTTCTTTTCTAGGCAGGGACTGGTGATCACTTAGATGTGTGTCTGATGAGAGGAGAGCGGGACGTCACAGGCTGCAGGCTTGTCTTGTTGCAGAGGCGCTCCTGGGTGAGCTGTCAGCCGAAGCTCCATCCCCAGCCACTCTGCTCTAGAAGGCTTAGTCAGAGATGGGTAACCTGAGCCACTGCAGCCTCTGAGTAGACAGAATCTGCAGGGTTTGGAAAAAGCATGAGCAGAGCAGACATCCCTGTTCCCGTCTTCTTACCACTGATATCCACAGTGATGCCCAGAGTGTTCTGATACCAGGCAGCTGGGTATATGGGAGTGATAGGAGCTAGAGAGGGTGGGGTCCTGAGAGAGTGACCCAAGCTGTGGCGTCCACAGTCACCAGCCCAAGTGCCAGCCTGGCCCTCAGGAGCCACACACCCGGGCCCATCCTCTTCCGCTCGCTGGGCTACACGGGCCGCGGACGTCGCAAGGCAGTTTTATTTTAGGAGCCAAGCACCATCACTGGTTGGTGGTTGCCAGGAGAGTCATGGGCAGGCAGATTGAGCAGGGTCAGGGCAGAGCTTGTGATGGATTCTCAGGACCGCCTGGGGTGGCAGGCACTGGACATTGCTACCCACCTCCCACCTGCCAGACAGTGTCGTTTCTGGTTGTGCAGGATCTGATACAAAGTTTTTTAAATCCCTCAAGTTTTTTCCCAGTGGCAAAGAAGAAAGTTGGAAACATCTGAGCGGGGTGGGGGCTGGCGAGGAGCGGATGCTGCGTCCACGTGCACCGTCCAGTGCAGTCCCAGAGCAGGACCCTGCAGAGCCGTCACGTTTGCCATGCTTACCCGGGCAGCAAAGAGCCCTTCTCCCTGTAGTGACCAACCGCTTAGCTTGCAAGAGAAAAAATAAGGTATTTTTTTACCTTAAAATATGAGAGGTGACACGTGAGTGTTAGTAGTCAGTGTTTGCCTTAAAATGTTCTTTTTTTTTTTTTTTTGAGACGGAGTTTCGCTCTTGTTACCCAGGCTGGAGTGCACTGGCGCGATCTCGGCTCACCGCAACCTCCGCCTCCTGGGTTCAGGCAATTCTCCTGCCTCAGCCTCCTGAGTAGCTGGGACTACAGGCACACGCCACCATGCCCAGCTAATTTTTTGTATTTTCAGTAGAGATGGGGTTTCACCATGTTGACCAAGATGGTCTCGATCTGTTGACCTCGTGATCCACCCGCCTCGGCCTCCCAAAGTGCTGGGATTACAGGCGTGAGCCACCGCGCCCAGCCTTAAAATGTTCTTAACCCTGAAGAAACTGCGGTAACCGCCCGGCCTCATGGCAGGCAGCAGGAGCTCCTGTTCTGTCAGCACCACCAGACTGCGACGTCCGCTCCTCATTCAGCATCTGATGCTGTGTACGGAAAGGGTGCAAGGGAAGACAGGTGTTTGTTTTTGTTTTTGTTTTTGTTTTGTTTTGTTTTTTGAGACAGAGTCTCGCTCTGTTACCCAGGCTGGAGTGCAGTGGTGTGGTCTCGGCTCACCGCAACCTCCGCCTCCTGGGTTCAAGCGATTCTCCTTCCTCAGCCTCCCGAGTAGCTGGGACTACAGGCTTGTACCAACAGTCCTAGCTAATTTTTTCGTATTTTTAGTAGGGACAGGGTTTCACTGTGTTAGCCAGGATGGTCTCGATTTCCTGACCTTGTGATCCGCCCACCTCGGCCTCCCAGAGTGCTGGGATTACAGGCTTGAGCCACGACGCTTGGCCTAGGAAGACAGTTTTATTCAAACTTATTTCTTCCCAGTTAAATAAAAGTTACTGGCCAGGCGTGGTGGCTCACGTCTGTAATCCCAGCACTTTGGAAGGCTGAGCAGGTGGGAGATGAAGTCTCACCATGTTGCCCAGGCTGATCTCAAACTCCTATACTCAAGCAGTCCTCTCACTTTGTCCTCCCAACATTTGATGTTGAACTGGTCACGTCAGGAGTTTGAGACCAGCCTGGCCAATGTGGCGAAACCCTATCTCTACTAAGAATACAAAAAAATAAATAAATGGCCAGGCTTGGTGTGAGGCACCTATAGTCCCAGCTGCTCGGAGCCTGAGGCTTAAACCTGGGAGGTAGAAGTTGCAGTGAGCCAAGATGGCGCCATTGCACTCCAGCCAGGGCGACAGAGTGAGACACTGCTCAAAATAAATAAATACATGAAAATAAAACATAAATACACAAGCGTCGTCCATTTCGTAGAACATGTGGATAGGCTTAGGAGCGCAAGCACCGCAGTCCTGCTCCACAGAGATTAGCAGTTTGCCATGTTTTCCTCTTTTTTTTCCTCTGCCCCGATGATCTGCAGGAAGTTTTTTCCATATATGAATCAAGGCACTGAATGAAGAATTTTTATTTTTGTTTTTCATATGACAAACAGCAAATTCACCACTGCTTGGCCAGGGTATGTGATTTCTTCCCCTGCCACGTTATGTGAAGAACAGTTTTTCAACAAGTTTTTTTAATGAAGCTGTCAAGGTGGGGTGACGAGGACTTTCTGTCCCAGATGCCACTGAAAGCCAGCCTGCTGCAGCTGCACTGGTCACCAGGAGTACAGCAGTCTCCCTAAAAAGTGGAGCAAATAGAGTAGGAGCTGTGGAGAAGGAGGTGCTTGCCAGCCAGAGGGAACACAGGGCAGAGGCCGAGGTGGCCTGGAGGCCGCTGGTCACAGCCTGCCCTTCTGCTGCTTGGCTGCGGCAGCCCCCAGACCAGGCTGGCAGCAGTCACACAGGGTCAGAGCTGAGAGAATTCAGTTCTTCCAGAACTAAGATTTCCAGATGAAATGTAGTATCTGTTTGTTTCGTTTTTCAGTTTTTGAAAACCGTTTTGAAACAATGTAAGAAAGGTTACAGAATTAACACTCCCCGCCCCCAGCTTCCCAAGGGCAGGCATCTTCCCAGGCTGTTCTCTCTGGCTGGGCGAGGGTCTCAGGGGTGTCTGTGTCCCCATCTCCTGTGTTCTGGGGTGCCCCTCATTCTCTGCTCTTTGTGACTTTGATCATTGCACAGGTCAGTCACTTTGCAGCTCTGGGGACCAGACACGGGACACATCCCCAGGCCTCAGCAGGAAGATCCATGGCATGCAGAAAGGAGCTTGTTAGAGCCTTATCCTGTGCAGGATGGCTGTTGGGTGAGGGGCCGGGATGTTCGGATAGGTCCCTTTCCCCAGGTTCCCGTTTATTATCAGGGTGGAAGAATGAGCTGTTGGTGTATGAAGGTCACCACAGAAGAGCTGGGGCGCTGCTGGGGCGCTGCCTCTCCGACATGTTTTCCTTTGCTCCGTTGAAGGTTGAGGTCCCAAGGCCGGGTGCAGTGGCTCATGCCTGTAATCTCAGCACTTTGGGAGGCTGAGGCGGGCGTATCACGAGGTCAGGAGTTCAAGACCAGCCTGGCCAATATGGTGAAACCCCATCTCTACCAGAAATACAAAAACTAGCCAGGAGAATAAGCATCAGCCACTTGAAAAGCCAGCAGGCAGAGGTTGCAGTGAACCGAGATTTCACCACTGCACTCCAGCCTGGGCAATAGAAGGAGACTCCATCTCAAAAAATAAATAAGAGAGCCAGTCGCGGTGGCTGACACCTGTAATCCCAGCACTTTGGGAGACTGAGGCAGGCAGATCACGAGGTCAAGAGATCGAGACCATCCTGGCCAACATGGTGAAACCCCGTCTCTCCTAAAAATACAAAAAATTAGCTGGGCATGATGGTGCGTGCCTGTAATCCCAGCTACTTGGGAGGCTGAGGTGAAAGAATTACCTGAACCCAGGAGGCCGAGGTTGCGGTGAGCCGAGATCGCGCCATTGCACTCCAGCCTGGTGACAGAGCAAGACTCCATCTCAAAAAAAAAAAAAAGAGAGAAAGTTGGAGTCCCGAGCTCCCCTGGTCACAAGAGTGTCCAGCTGCTACTAGGTCCTGGTGTTCTTTTTGCCCCAGTTCTTTAATGCCCCTTCTTTTTATCTCCTTTGCTGCTCTCTGCTTCCAGTCACCACTATCCCAGGGTCTACCTGCCATTTCTCCAGCCCAGAGAACCCTCACAAAGCACATCTGGTCTCTGAGTGCCAGGCTGAATTCCAGTTAGGGGTACTAGCTGCTTCTTGTTCTGGGGCAGACTGGACACCTCAGACAGCGATAACATGAGGGGATCTGAGTGACGAGGTGGGCCAGGACACTGGGCGGACAGAGTGAGGCTCTCTCCCCCATGGCCCCCCACTGGGACCCCCACACCAGCCTCATCTGCCTCTAGTCTTCTGGCCGCCCCCACCCTGCAGGCCTACAGCTCCTGCCGCCTAAACCCGTTGCCCCCACCCCACCCTCAGGGTTTACCAGGCCAGTTCCCTCCCTGCCTGATTCGCTAGTGTCTGCCTCCCCAGTGCACCTGCAGAGAAGCCCCCATCACCCTGCCTGCCTCCTCCCGGGGAGCTGGGCCCACCCAGCCTCTGGCTTCCCCAAGTTAAGCTGCTTCCTGCTAACAAGGGGCGGCAGCTTCTGGTTCATTCAGCCTGAGCCTGCTGTCTCTCCTTCTCGGCACACCCAGAGAGGCTGGCCATCTGTGTGTGTGGACGAGAAGGGGAAGCACGCTTTCCTCTGCCTCTGCACGCATCTCACCAAACTGTGCAGTTCCTGAAGGGCAAGGACTGTCTTTGGAACAGCCTTTCTGTCTGACAACATTCTGGGATGGTGGAAATGCTGTATTTGGTGCTGTCCACTTGAGTAGCTGCTGGCCACATAGGGCCACTGAGCACTGCAGGTATGAGTCATGGAACTGGAGAACTGGGTTCTTAGTTGTATTTGCCTTTTTTAGTGATGAACTGTGCTGCCCAGACTGGTCTCAGACTCCAGGACTCAAGCAATCCTCTCACCTCAGCCTCCCCAGTAGCCAGGACTACAGGCTCTGGCCACCACGTCCGGCTGTTTTAATTAATCTAAAGTCAAAATAGCCACATGTGGCCAGGGCTTCCATACTGAGCCATGCAGCTATGGACAGTCTAGCTGAGCTGCCTGCACGTAGAGGCAGATGGTGAGTTACTCAGTTTTATGCGAGAAGGGAAGACACTTAAAGTGTAGGTTTGTTTCCTGTTTCGTGAACAAAGGGGCGATCTCGTAGCAGTGGGTTTCGGATACTGGAGACCACACGGGGGAAAATATCGTGAGATGAGAAGGTAGGTGCCAGTGACTTAGGAGACAGGAGAGAGGGGCTGACACTCTTGAAAGGCCGAGAAGAGCCTGGTGGGAGATTGCTGGCCCCTCAGAATTCCCTGTGTTCGGGGCCCGGGGTTGACTCTTTGGCCTTGGGCTGCTGCTGCTTTTCTGTCCATGGGTAGCAATGTTATTGCAGTATCATTGACAGACACTGAACTGAGCATAGTCCGATGAGTTTTGAAATACGTATCAACACTGGACGCCATCCCTGCAATCCTGGTGGATTTGCAGTACCAGAGTTACTTCCCTGTGCCCTGTGTGACCTCCCCCACCTCTCCTTGCCCCACCTGTCCCCAGGTGACCACTGACCTGCGGTCTGTCACTGCAGGTTGACTTGTGACTTCCTGAGCTTTGCATGACGGCGTCCGCAGGGCCTGCGCTTTCCTCTCACGTCTTGCACAGCCATTCGGTTTTAGGGACTCCCCAGCTGTGTGTGTTGTTCCTCCATGGCTGAGCAGGGTCCCAGCCGTGCTGTTTGTCCATCCGCCTGCCTGTGGGGGAGCTGGGCGGCTTGCTTTTACGTAACCTTCACGCCCGAGTGGTTTGTAAGCCAGCTTACCGGTGGCAGGGCTTTGGGCCAGGCACAGCTCCTGGCAGGCTGGCGGTGAAACCCAGAGGCTACAAGTCACTTATGAGGGGGACCAGTCTTTGCAGAGACCCTTAGAGCCTGCAACATCATTAAGCAGTTATGTTTTGTTTTTGTTTTTGAGCCACTGTTACCATAAGAGATTGGGGGCATGCCACATCAAATGACATGGGGCCTCTTCTGCAACGCCACACCTCTGCGTTGTGGGGTTTCCAGGACAGGGATTCGGACATTTTGATTCTTGTTGTCAACAACCGCAGATTCAAAGCTTGCCTTTTGTTGAAGTCTCTGGGTGCCCCTTCCTCCCCAGGCTCCCCAGCCTTTCCCCAGCCAGCCTTCCTATCACCTTTCCTTCTTCCCAGGAGATGAATTCCCAGATAAACTCGCAGTCCCAGTGGGCCCTTGTACACGTGTCTCCATGCACCTGCCTCAGTTTAGAGCACTCATGTTTTGAGAGCGGGCCCCTTTGTCTACTGAGCAGAGTGAACTGAGGCACGGTAAACAGGTCCCTTGTTCAGCAGAACCAGAGAAAGTTGGAGGCTGGGGCCGATTAGGAAGTTTCAGAAGCCGATGTAAACTCCTAAGAACGTGCCAGGGAATAAAAGTTTACTCGAGAATAATTTTTCCCAGGGAGATTTTCTTTTTTTTTTTTTTTTTTTTGAGACAGAGTCTCGCTCTGTTGCCAGGCTTGAGTGCAGTGGCGAGATCTTGGCTCACTGCACCCTCTGCCTCTGGGTTCAAGCAATTCTCCTGCCTCAGCCTCCCAAGTAGCTGAGACTATGGGTGCACGCCACCACACCCAGCTAATTTTTGTATTTTTAGTAGAGACAGGGTTTCACCCTGTTGGCCAGGATGGTCTCAATCTCTTGACCTCATGATCCACCCGCCTCAGCCTCCCCAACTGCTGGGATTACATGCATGAACCATGGCACCTGGCCTCCCAGTGAGATTTTTCATGGGATGGGACATTTAACTTGGGGTTCTAATTTTACCCTCATTTTTCTTCCTGTGGCACCAGCCATATAAATTTATATGTATCTATTTCCCAGTACAAACGTATACGTAATGGTAAGACAGATGGAAAATATATATATATTTTTACAATTTTTACAAAATATATATATGTACATTTCCCATATGTCTTGCCATTCTTGAAAATCAGTATGTATTCAACCAGTTGGGATTTGTTGAATGTGGACGCTGAACCCAGCAGACCCTTTCACGTAAATGTGAGGAAGCCTTGCTCTTCAACCTGACTCCTGTATTCCCAAGCTTGTGGGCAGATCTCTCAGCCCCACACATAATGCTTGAATGGAGAGATGTTCAGGGGCGGCTTTGCAACTCCAGGGCCACCCGCAGCTCGTCCTCTCTCTGCGTTTCAGATCTAGGTGGCCAGGCACTTGTGGGAAATGGAAAGACAGCTCTGAGTGCCCTCTGCCAGCCCTGGGTAACCACTGCCATACAAAGATCCCTGCCCGTACCTGGGAATCAGCCAGGAATGGCATCCTCTGGGCATGTGCCCAGCACCCAACTTTTTGCCTCTCTGCCTGCTTAAGATAAAAGACCAAAACTGAGTATTTTTCTTTTGGAAATTCATGCCACCCCCTCATTCCCAGGGAAGGAAATAAATTGATTAGTATTGCAAAAGAACAAGAGCTTTGATTCGTGTCAACATTCATTTCTAACCAACTAGCCAGAGCTGAATTGTTTCTTGCCAGTGAGCCTGACCCAAAGGACATATGAGAGGGGAGGTTTGGGTTTTTTTCTTCTTTTGTCATTGTTTTTTTTTTTTTTGAGATGGACACTCGCTTTTTTGCCCAGGCTGGAGGACAGTGGCACGATCTCTGCTCACTGCAACCTCCACTTCCCAGGTTCAAGCGATTTTCCTGCCTCAGCCTCCCAAGTAGCTGGGATCACAGGCGCCTGCCACCACGCCCAACTAATTTTTTGTAATTTTAGTAGAGACAGGGTTTCACTATGTCGTCCAGGCTGGTCTCGAACTCCTGACCTCAGGTGATCTGCCTGCCTCGGCCTCCCAAAGTGCTGGGATTGCAGGCAGTGAGACACTGTGCCCAGCCAAGGTTTGGATTTAATGTGTTGCTTTACTCGCCAGGAAAGTGTCCGTGGGTTGTGAAACCTGCCAGAAGCCTGTTGACCGCCTATGAAATAACTTCCCTGGCCATTGTGCTTATATTCTGAGTCTGGAATACTGACTTCGGTTATGTCGCCTTGTATTTTATATTTGACATGAAAAGTCAGTCACTGCTTAACTTTATGTTTGAAAGGAAGATGACCTCATTCCACGGAATGCTTAAAAAACTGACTTGGATTACTAGATCTTGGAAGAGCCTATGCTTTCGGGTTATTTTAATACGTATCTTGAGATTCACTGAAAAGGCTAGGCATGGTGGCTCACGCCTGTAATCCCAGCACTTTGGGAGGCTGAGGCAGGCGGATCACCTGAGGTCAGGAGTTCGAGACCGGTCTGGAAAACATGGTGAAACCCCATCTCTACTAAAAATACAAAAGTTAGCTGGGTATGGTGGTGGGTGCCTGTTATCCCAGCTACTCAGGAGGCTGGGAGGCTGAGGCAGAAGAATTGCTCAAATCTGAGAGACGGAGCTTGCAGTGAGCCAAGATCATGTCACTGCACTCTAGCCTTGGTGATGAAAGACATTCACCAAAAAGAAAATTCTGAAAACAAAAGTCGAATTTAATTTTCAAGCCAAGCCCTTTGGTCGTGGGAGGGATGGGGAAGTAGGTCTTGAAAACATGTCTAAAAAGGGAATCCTCTGGCATATCAGTAGCTAGACGTGAGTGATGTCTCGTGTCTCGACTGAGGGACGATGCCCGTGTTTCCCTTCGTTTCGTAATCTCGAGTCATTGCTCCATGGGATGGTGAAAGGTGAGCCACAGGTGGCCTCACGTATCTGGGATGCCACAGGCATTCCTTTAGACTCAGGCGATCGTGCCGCATACACTTCCCTGCAGCGTGGATACTGAGAGCATGTACAGAAACCTTTCACTTTGCTGTACTCTCACCTTCAGTAGGTCTTTGGGTCCAAGATACTACCATGCTATATTTCGGGTAGGTTTTTTTATTTTTTACAATCTAGTACCATGCAGGCCCATTCAACAAAGATGCTCATGGTTAAAATGTTGTTTTTCTTAACTGAACTTATATTTAGTGATGGCACTTTAGAGACTTATATTCAGCTTCATTTCCCAAGTCCCCACCACTGAAAATTCTTGGTTCTCTTAAATCAAAAGTAAATTTTTTTTTTTTAGACAGAGTTTCACTCTTGTCACCTGGGCTGAAGTGCAATGGCATAACCTTGGCTCACCGCAACCTCTGCCTCCCAGCTTCAAGCAATTCTCCTGCCTCAGCCTCCCCAATGGCTGGGATTACAGGCATGTGTCACCATGCCCAGCTAATTTTGTATTTTTAGTATAGAGATGGGGTTTCACCACATCGGCCAGGCTGGTCTCAAACTCCTGACCTCAGGTGATCTGCCTGCCTTGGCCCTCCAAAGTCCTGGGATTATAGGTGTGAACCCTTGCATCTGGCCTATGATTTTTAAATAAAAATATTTTCTGTACTGGGTGCGGTGGCTCACGCCTGTAATATTAGCACTTTGGGAGGCTGAGGCAGACGGATCCCTTGAGGTCAGGAGTTTGAGAACAGTGGCCAACATGGTGAAGCCCCATTTCTAATAAAAATACAAAAATTAGCCAGGTATGGTGGTGGGTGCCTGTAATCCCAGCTACTCGGAGGCTGAGGCAGGAGAATTGCTTGAACCCAGGAGGTGGAGGTTGCAGTGAATCGAGATCGCACCACTGCACATCAGCCTGGGCAACAGAGCCATCTCCAAAAAAAAAAAAAAGAATTTTCCAGCATCCAGCCCCAGAAGAGGACTCTTCACTTTCTCGAGATGAGTTTTCTCTCACCCCAAGTCTGGCCCTGAGCATCTTCTCACTGAAAACAAGGACTCAACATTAGGGGCTGGGCGAGGTGGCTCACGCCTGCAGTCCCTGTGTTTGGGAGGCTGCGGCAGGAGGACTGCTTGACCCCAGCAGGTCGAGGCTGCAGTAAGCCTTGGTCATGCTACTATACTCCAGTCTGGATGACAGAGCAAGACCCCATCGCAAGCAGTCCTCCTGCCGCAGCCTCCCAGGTAGCTGGGGCTATGGGCATGCAACACTCCACCCAGCCGATTATTTTCTGTAGAGGTAAGGTCTTGTTATATTGCCCAGGCTGGGCTCGAACTCTTGGCCTCAAGTGACACTCCTGCCTTAGCGACCCAGAGTGCTGGGATTACAGGTGTGGGCCACTGTGCCCGGCCTGAGACCCCGTCTTTAAAAAGAAAAAATAAATGGCCCCTTCCTAAGGGACAGACACCTGGTGCTTTCTGACAGGTGAGATGCATAATCAAAAACTAAATATGTATGTAGGTGATTCCAAATGATTCTCAAATTAATCTGGAAGAAAAAATTAGGGATAGTCAAGAAAATGTTGCAAAGGAAGATGTAAGATACTAGAAGATACAGTACCACCACGATACCAGTTTGAAGACCTGTGGTCCTGGCCCAGAAACAGCCTGAAATAGCCAGGCACAGTGGCTCATGCCCATAATCCCAGCGCTCTGGGAGGCTGAGGGGAAGGATCGCTTGAGTCCAGGAGTTTGAGGCCAGCCTGGGCAACATAAGGAGACCCCATCTCTACAAACCCCTCCCCGCCTCACCACACACACACAAATTAGCCCATTGTGGTGGCACGCACCTGTAGTCCCAGCTGCTCGGGAGACTGAGATGGGAGGATTGCTTGAGCCCAGGAAGTCAAGGCTGCAGTGAGCCTTGATTGTACCGCTGCACTCCAGCCTGAGTGACAGAGTGAGACCCTGTCCCAAAAATATTGAAAAATAAAGGAAAGGGAAAAAAAACTCATTCAGAAAAAAAAAGTATAAAAGAAAGAAATGTGGAGAGTTCTACAAAAGGACACCGTCCCACTTTTTGGGGAGAAGTGTAAGTTGGGACACCCTCTGAAGAGCCAATTAGCAATTCATGACCAGAGCAATTCATGGAGAGCAGGACACCAGCAGGCAGATACACAAAGACATATGTGCACACAATTGTTTCTTCTTTTGAGATGGAGTCTCGCCCTTGTTGCCCAGGCTGGTGTGCAATGGCGGGATCTTGCTCACTGCAACC